TCGAGCTTTTGACTCCGTTTTTCATCGTCTACGCAATGGAAGGATGAGTATTTAGTTTTAAAGCTCTTTACTTCGTTTTTGCTCCGTTTTTACTTATAATGTTCATTAGGATAAATTTGAATTTGATTGATGATGGAGGAAATGCTTGTACTTGATTGCTCCGTTTTTCAAGTGCTCGTTTAGTGATAATCAACCCTCCAATCAATTGCTTAGAATGTTTAGGACCTTATTTGATCTATTTGTGATTTGGACAATCAACTAGTAGATAAAGCTCCGAATAGCCTTCCCTCGAGATCGACCCGATTCGGGTAACTCGGTTATTCTTTCCCACCAAATCTTTACTAAACAAGAACCAACGGCATAGGAGACACCAATCGTTGATCAAGCAAATATGGGGCTCACCACCGCTAGTCCCGCCGGCCACCGAGGTCTGACCACCAAACACCAACAGCCACAGCGACATCAAAGGCGAACAACTTCGAGGGTCGGCCGAGCGGTCAGGGCGACCACTGGCCGAAGGTCGCCGTTCGCCGAGGAAGGCTAGGAGATGAAGATTGAAGACGGCGACTTTGATATGGGGATAAGGGTTTTTTTTCTGACTGAAAAAGCAAATATTGTTTCGTTGAATATGCTACACAAATTTATGAATATAATTTATATATTTCACATATTAAAATATTATTTATTTAAAAGTTGTTAACAAGTAATTGATATATTTCACATATAAGGTAATATAAATAATATAAATTAATCTTTTGTTAAACCAAACATTAAAAAAGAAAAACAAAGAAGAAGAAATGACAAAGTTATTCATATGAAAAGTTTGAGTCATTTCAAGAATATGTATAACTTCTTAGTTTAATATAAAATAAATTTAAATTAATATGGACTAATTAATTTCATTATGAAATAAATTAACAAAACAAGGGCAAAAATATTTTTTTACTACTACATATTTAAATAAAACGAAAAATTAAGACTGGGCTGGAGCCCGAGTGAGCCACCTCCAATGCAGTGATTATATACCCATAAACTTTGTTGTGGAGATAGTAGCCTATGAATAGGCCATCCGCCATCAGCATCACGTAGACGGAGCTGCACTGGACGAAGAAGGACACAAACTCCTTGTATTTACTCAGGAGCTTGGTCTTCTTCTCCAATAGAAGCTCTCTTTCAGCTTCCAAGGCATTTAGAGCCTTGGTGAGGTGACTTCCAACAGTTGCCTGTGGCTCATTGGCCAGATTTGGTTGCTGCTCCTCAGATGGAGATGAAGGCTGGTGAGGCGAAGAACCCACGTTGGTTGGGACAGCTGAAGCGGCCTGAATCTCTGATGACTGCTGGTGAGACGTAGAACCTACGTTGGTCGGGACTGGCTAAGTCCTAGGTGAAGAGCCCTGAATCTCAGAGGAAGATGGCATATCGATGTTCAACACATGCGACATATTTTTTGTTTTGCTGGTTTTATTTTAATTTAAAGAGGACAACTTTTTAGAAGATTCAAGATACTTTCGTACACCGGCCCGGAAACCCAACGGAGGTAAGAATCCAGCTGCAGAAGTAGCTGTCAAGTCTTTGGATCTTTGGTATTGGTATTCATGCCCGATCTTTTCCATGGACTCCAACTACCGCGATTGGGTGGGGAACGTTTGGACTCAACTCATATAGCCGTGTTTTTTCCTCTATTTCAACTCCCCTTGTACCGAGCTCCCAAAGCTTTCCTTCTGTTTTTCTACGGGCAGGTCTGACTCTTCGATACAACCTATGATTTGTGAAGCTTTCCGCTCTAAGGCATTTTGCCCCTCTTATTCGAGGTATACTGCCAAAGAGAATACCAACGAAAAAAAAGGAATTCCGGCACACAAAGAAGCTAATCGAACATTTCAGACCGAGAAAAGATAAAAAAACAAGAGGGGAATGGAGTTCTTCGATAAAGAATAGTAGGCTACTAGGCTGGTATTTATACCAATATAACACAACATCAAGCACCAGCGGGCACACAAATTAGACCTACCTATTCAAACCCTATTTAACCTATGTTGCGATTTGACAAGGATTCCCTTAGGCTGCGATTCCCTATTTAAAACCCGTTTAAAGCCAAAAAATTAAAAAAAGAAAAAACTCTGGCTATTGTAATCGTGGAAATTGGTCAGGATGACCCTATGCAGATAACAAAATGGGTAAATGACCCTTGACCAAATTTTGATAATAAAACTTAATAAGATACCATATTAAATAGGAAGTTATCAATAAGATATCATTTTAAAATCACGTCATGTTGTTTTTATGGGTAATATACAAATATCCATTGCATATTACACAAACTTGTAGATTTTTCTTATATAGTAATTTTTTATTAAAAAAAATAGTGCTTCTGCGTAATTTCTTCTTGCATCTTTAAATTTGACGTACAAAAATAATATTACTTATTTCAAATACGAAACGTTTTATAATTAGGCATGTCAATCAACATACATGTTATATGATATTTCATTTAAATTGTGGAAGTCCGTATGTTATTTTATTAAATAAGCAGGTTAATCCAACATACTTGTTATATGATATTTTACTTTAATTGTAAAATTCTAAATATTGTTTCGTTGAATATGCTACGCAATTAATGAATATAAATTATATATTTCACATATTCAAATGTCATTTATTTAAAAGTTGTTAACAAGTAATTGATATATTTCACATATGAGGTAATATAAATAAGGGAAAAATTTTTTTTCACCACAATACAAAGATATATTAAGTTTTTCACACCGCCCACTAACAATCTAACTTTTCACCCCAGAAAGTGCGAAGGTTATGCAAATGGACTGCATACCTGTCGCATATCAATTGCATAACTGTCGAATATTCATCGCACAATACATTCGCACTTTAATTTTTTTTTTCACCCCTGAAAGTGCGAAAGATATGCGAATGTCATCGCACTTTTAACTTTCGCACAATGTCATCGCACAATTATCGCATATTCATCGCACAATGCCTTTTCGCACTTTAACCTTTTTTCACCCCAGAAGTGGGAAGAGTATGCGAATGCCATCGCACTTTTAATTTTCGCACAATGTCATCGTGTAATTGTCGCATATTCATCGCACAATGCCTTCGCACTTTCTGGGGTGAAAAACTTAGTTTTTTATTGGGCAGTGTGAAAAACTTTGTAGGACTTCAAAACGGGGTGAAATTAGCTATTTTCACTATAAATAATAAAAATTAATCATTTCTTAAACCAAACATTAAAAACGAAAAACAAAGAAAAAGGAATGACAAAGTTATACATATGAAAAGTTTGAGTCATGTCAAGAATATGTAAAACTTCTTGGTTTAACATAAAATAAATTTAAATTAATATGGACTAATTAATTTTATTATGAACTAAATTAACAAAACAAGGGCTAAAATATTTTTTTACTACTACATATATAAATAAACAAAAAATTAAGACTGGGCTGGAGCCCGAGTGAGCCACCCCCAATGCAGTGATTATATACCCATGAACTTTGTTGTGGAGATATTAGCCTATGAAATGGCCACCCGCCATCATCATCACGCAGACGGAGCTGCACTGGACGAAGAAGGACACAAACTTCTGGTATTTACCCAGGAGCTTGGTCTGCTTCTCCAATAGAAGCTCTCTTTCAGCTTCCAAGGCATTTAAAGCCTTGGTGAGGCGACTTCCAACCGTTGCCTGTGGCTCATTTGCCAGATCTGGCTACTACTTCTCAGATGGAGATGACGGCTGGTGAGGCGGAGAACCCATTTTGGTCGGGGACAGCTGAAGCGACCTGAATCTCTGATGACTGCTAGTGAGATGTTGAACCTATGTTGGTCGGGTCTGGCTGAGTCCTAGGTGAAGAACCCTAAATCTCAGATGAAGATGGCATATCGATGTTCAACACATGCGACATATTTTTTTGTTTTTGCTGTTTTTAATTTAATTTAAAGAGGAGAACTTCTTAGAAGATTCAAGATATCGATAAAGAATATGTAGTGATATAGGATATTATACCCACAAGGCTAAACTGGTCTGCTGAACCGGTCGAAGGGGATGTACTGTGAGGACATCGAGCCAAGTGGGGGGAAGATCGACCAGTCAACCAGTCGACCGGTCAACCAGTCGACCAGTCAACCAGTTGACCAATCCATCATTCGACTAGGAAAATGATCGAGCAGTTTAGTCGACCTCAACAGGTCGACCACTCCGCGGACTTAACACTTCATAAATCGGTCTAGTCACAGGTGCGTGTAAGAGCCTCTAACGGAATTTCAGAAGAATATTCACTCCATGTGTAGAAGGACACGTGTTGAGAACATATTGATTGATAGCAACAACCACCTCTGACAGCTCCCAACGTCCCGCGCCATCTCTGACATGCGCGCGGTGTGTCAGAGTACAGACGGGCAGCTTGGGCAGCCAGCTCACCAAATCCGGGCAGCCTTAGGTCAGGTATCTCACTCCTATATAAAGGGGGTGAGCCTTTCTTCCTTAACACCTTTTTTTCCATTATTCAACTCCAGTATACTCATACACATACTGACTTAAGCATCGGAGGCTCTTCACCGGACACAACCCTCGGTGTGAGAGTTATTTGCAGGTTTCCGACGTTCTACCGGTGAGGGCGAGGTTCGATCCATCCTAAACCGGGCCAGGACGCTTACACTGCATTATTGGCGCCGTCTGTGGGACTTCTTGTTCGAAAAGTTGTGTTTGAAGCTCAGCTATGGCAGACGGAATTCCCAGAACCAACTTGCAGTCGACGTTCGATGACGCTTAGACGACGACCAGACCGATTGGGCAAGGCCCTCCTCCGGGTTTCTCTGGCACTTCGCAGACGTCGGTTACTCCCACACCCGTCCTTCAAGGTGTGGGAGCATCGACGGCGGTTCCCGGAGGAGATGCAAGCTCCAGTCCTGCCTAGGAGGCTCGCGCAGCAGCAGCGGCGGCGATGCCACCGCCGCCGCCCCAAAACCCAGTGGTGGCGCAACCTGTAATATCCCGTCATGTTAATAATATAAGTTATGTAATTAGTTCCGATATAATAATGTTATCGATTATTATTTTTTGGAATTAATTATTTCAGTCGAGATTACCCGAAATTATTTTCACGTCACGTTTACATTCGGAATAATTTCGGAAATTAAGTGTCATGCTTGGTAATTTATTAAGCATAAAGATTATGCTTAATTATTAATTAATCATGCTTTATTAATTAATGCCATAGCATTTTGGCAATTCTTTTAAGTAAAGCCGTGTGCATTAAGGATAAATTGAGGAAAAATTGTCCTCTTTCAAGTACCTTGACGTGTCATCATGTGGGAGCTCATTTGATGACTAATCCTTATTAGGGATGACTAAGCTTGATGTTGTGCAATTAAGTCTTAGGACATGACACTTGGAAGCTAGTCATTGGCTAAAATGTTATTTCCCATCTCTTATATTATGTGTTCGGTCATCATAATATTTAAGAGGGAGTTGGGATAAAATTTTCCTCATTTTCATCCTATATTTTCACTCATAAGTTAAGATAAGTAAGTGAGGAGAGTTGAGGGCTGAAGAGAGCACGCGGTGCACGTTCAAGTGGAAAATCCACGCACGGAGAGCGCACATACGCACACGGCAAGGCAAGCACACCGCACCGAGTGAATTTAACCGATCGTTCGAGAAGATAACTTTGGTTTACCTTTGATTGATCATGTTAAAGT